ACACACACACACACACACACACACACACACACACACACACTTTGTAATTCACCCCAGAATCCTTACAGCCCTAACAAACTAATACAGAATACAATGGTACATTTATCTGAGGTTTACATAATCCTGACATTCTGAGGGGAAAAAAGGGTACATCAAACCAGCTAAAACTTAGCTAGAAAATATGATAATAAAACAGGATGCTAAATATTTCAGAAGTTCTACCTTAGTTTCTAGAGGCTATGTTAATTTCATCCAATCCAATCCAATCCAATCCAGTCCAACCCAACCCAATAAAATGGCCTTTTCCTTTGAGCTGCTCCAGGGATTCAAAGGCAAATAAAACATGAACTTTGCACTATTTTATTGTAATTTAAAAACAGATGCATTAAAAAAAGAAAAAGCTATGTAACAAGCTCTTGTAACTACAGAATATAGACCAAATTGTTACCTAACATACCAAGTGATAAAATGTGTTATAAATACTGTGTTCAATATGGTCCTTTTATATAAATACATACATGCATGTATAGGGTGTGTGCACACGTAATACACTTTGGAAAAACCACAGGAAAGGCATACACTAAACTGTTAAGGATTGTTCTAGGTGGTACAGTTAATTTTAATTTTCTTTATTATTTATTTTTAGTGACCACAAATTTTTATATTGTAAAAATGATCAAACATTTTTTTTAAAAGATCTTACCTCAATAAAGGTTGCCTAAGCCTGAAATTATACATGTATGCAAAAATTATAGCAAACAGACTAAAGTGAGCAAATAGCTATCAATGTTTAAGACTTTCACATTCAACTCTGTGAGTTTGGTTATTCTATCTTTATTGAGGCAAAATTCGTATCATATAAAATTAACCTTCTTAAAGTATACAATTCAAAGGCATTTAGTACATTTACAATGTTATGCAAGTACAATTTCTATCTAGTTCAAAAATATTTCATCACCCCCAAAAGAAAACCCCATACCCATTAAGCAGTCACTCTCTACCCTCCCTTTACTCACCCCCTAGCTATCACTATTCTGCTTTCTGTCTCTACTGCCTATTCCAAATATTTCATTTAAATAGAATCATACAATATATGACCTTTTGTGTCTGGTTTCTTTAATCCAGAATAATGTTCCTGAGATTCATCCACATTGTAGCATGTTTCAGTATTTCATTCCTTTTATAGGGCTGAATAATATTCCATTGTATGAATAAACCACATTTTATTTATCTATTCACCAGTTGATGGACATCTGTATTATTTCCATCTTTTGACTATTATGAATAAAACTGCTATAAATATTCACGTGCAAGGTTTTTTGTGGACATGTCTTCAATTCTCTTGGGCATATATTTAGGAATGGAAGTGTTGGGTCACATGACAATTCTATGTTTAATTTTTTGAGAAACTACCAAAACATTTTAACAGTTACTTTACTATTTTATATCCCCACCAAATATATGAGAGCTCCAATTTCTCCATATCCTCTCAACACTTATTATTTCCCCTTCCCTTTGCTTATTACGGTCATCCTGGAAGGTATGAAGTAGTATCTCATTGTGGTTCATTTGTTGTATTCATAATCTACACACACATTTGACATTTCATTTCTAGTAATCACACAACAAATTCCTACCAATTATACTGAGTTATGTGATTTTGCTGAGTTATGCTTTTTTTTTAATTTTTTTTAAGTTTATTTATTTATTTTTGAGAAAGGGAAAGAGAGAACAAGTTGGGGAGGGGCAGAGAGAGACAGGGAGAAAGAGACAATCCCCAATGCAGGACTGAAACTCACGAAACCACAAGATCATGACCTGAGCCTAAACTGGCCGCTTAACTGACTGAGCTACCCTGGCACCCTGAAATGTTTAAATACAAGAACATGCCCATTAGGAACAAGGATAAGACTAGGGTTATTTTAATTAGTAAATTTAGCTAATGTTGAAATCCAGGACGCAAGACGTTAAAGGGAAGGTAGCACATTAACACATTAAATCCCTAGTAGAGTTCCATTCTTACTGGATAAGTAATCAAAGAAGTAATGATATAATCCGTCTATAGGTGGCATGAGTCATGGGATATAATAATGAAGTTTTAATCTAATCAAGCATCAAAAAAGCAAAAAAGAAAAGAAAGAAAAAAATAACTACCAATTCTATGAAACATTCCATAAAATATTATATCCAGGTCACAATTTTTCTAGGAGGATTTTATACATAAAATAAAAATCAGATGCAACTTATAATTAATTAATACAAATAGTAGAAACAAATCATCCTTTGAAGCCTATCATTTGCTTTTATGAGCAAAGTAAAACATGATTCAAGAGAAAAAAAATAGAAAAAGTACCACTGGCACTGCCACATCTTATCCTTTTCAACAATTAAATAACCATAAAGGAAACTATTAACCAGAAAGGGCTAAAACTCTTGGGAGCAAAAGATATATTCTAAATATCACTAGGGAAGGTTAAGCATCTTCACACAATTATGAAGTTGTATGCCTACCAATTGTGAGGGGAATTGGACCACTGCTGATCACAAACCTATCATTTCTATTTCTTCACCCTTTACTTGCTCTCCTCACCATTTCCCATTCTTCCATGATTCCTCCCTTCCCTCTCTTGCCTAAGCCTTAAACCTGACAGAAACATCCAACAACATACATCAATCTTTACAATGTACTCAGAGGCCAGATATGCTACCACTTTTTAAC